AAATAAAAATTAGAACAATTCTCTCTGCTAAAGAATTTTGGTAATTCTGTCAACAGTAGTCCAAGTTTGGAAATATATGGTTGATTTCCATTTGAGGCCTAATTGTGAAGAGATGTGAGAAGGAGAGAAGGAGAGAAGGAGATGGTAATCAAGTTGTCTTCTCAGGGTTCATTCATTAACACCTGAGTACTATACCTCTCTTGATATGAAATAAATTTTATCCTGGGTGGATGGTGTTTTTTTTTTTTTTTCCTGGCTGGCTGCTAAAAAATCAATAGAGAATACTGTGTCTTCTACAATGATCAGCAATTTTATTCCTAAATTCCATTCAATAATTATGGGTTAAAAAATTTCCTTCTGCCCATGATTTTAACATCTTAGGTCATCATAGTGTAAGGAACCAATGATCATTTTAGGACATCCATCACCTGGACAATTACACCACACAAATGAATGAAATCTGAACCCTTCAGCAATGTTTTATTGATATCTTTCACACAGGATAAGGATGATGATGTCTTAATTGGTGTCAAGTCCACAGCATTGCTATTTGGAGATCAAACAAAGCCTTGGCTAACAGGATTTAGTGTGGTTATGCTTAGCAGCCTCATTCTTGCTGGAATGAACAGTGATCAGGCTTGGCCATACTATCTGGGACTGGGCTGTGTTTCTTCCCATCTGGCATGGCAGGTAAGGGAAACACGATTAACCTAACCTGGGCAACCTGGGCTTAGTGTTAATTTTTAATTCAGTATAATAGCTTTGCAGAGGGATTTTCTTTCTGTATTTTTACCCATTGGTCTTGAGTCATATTAAGATCAGCCCCCCAAAAACCCTTAGCTTTTACACAGGCACATGTACATGAGAAATTAAAGCTAAGGTTAAATTTTAATCTCAGGTGAACCAAGGGCACAAGTGAATTCAAGAAGTGAATTCAAGAAGTGGCAATCATGTAGCCTGAGCAATTAAAAATGTGGTCCTGTGGTCTTGGTCTTATGTAGCGCACTCTATAAGTCCTTAGGGTACTTCTCCAACCAGGGCCCAGTTATTCAACGAGTGAATCAACCAAGGCCCAGTTATTCCAAGGGTGAATGATGCTATCCAATGGATACGTTGCTATCCAGCGGTTAAGTGTCAACAAGAGATGCCGCAATATCACTAGATAGAGATTTATCCAGTAGATACAGGGTTTGTATGGGTCCTGGAAAACCTAGAAAGTCCTGGAATTTTACTTTGACATTTTCCAGGACTGGAAAGCCCTGGTAGAAGACTACAGGTCCTGAAATGCCTGGAAATCTGCTTAACTCGAGTAATAAAGTTTTTAGAATTTACATTATAAGAAATGTATGAAGACTGTAAGGAGAATTGATTTTGAAATTTTGGGAATGAAAGGGTTCAAGGTAAAATTTGGAGTCCTGGAAAAGTCCTTGAAATTCATTTCTGAAAATGGGTATGAACCCTGTAGATAAGGCTATCCAGCTTTAAAAGAACTATAAGAGTGGATGATTAAAGGGTATGTATCAGGTATTAGGGAAGATAGGCATTTACAAGAGAGCAAGTTGCCGCAAATAGTCTCCACTGCCGGTTTTTTGTGCCTGGTTCACTGGATCATTATGAAGAACGAGGAACTCATTAGCCAACATATCTAGGGTGTCTTTTCAAAGCTTTGACACCTAAGAACAGTATTCCTTCACTTTACCCTAATCAAAGTACTGTTGATGGAAGTAACACATCTTGAGCAAACTCAGACAGATTTTGTGAAAATTTTTTTTCAGATTAAGACTGTAAATCTCTCCAATTCTGCTGATTGCTTATCAAAGTTCAAGTCCAATAAGTGGCTTGGGTTGATTTTGTTTGCTGGTGTTGTGGCTGGTACTATTGTCAAGAAAACAACAGAGAAAGAAGAAACTGAAGAGGCAAGAAACAAACCAAAGTTATAGCTTTCTTAAAAAAGAAAAGTGGTGTTCACAGGGAACATGAAACACTAAATGTGTTTCCATAGGCACAATTACCAGCTTCTGCCTAGGTAATGAATGTGCTCACCTCACCCTACCCCCTCCTCCACCACCTCTGAAGTTGCTTCAAGTTAGGAGGATTGAAGACCTGACCCAAGAAGGTGGCTGAACAATTCTTTCCATTTTTATGAATGGATGAAAGAAATTGAAGGAAAGAAGAAGTATTTTTAACTGATCTGTGCTAAGTGAAAGGTCAGATGTAGATAGCATGCCCAGATTTCAAGTGGTCATAGGAAACTAGGATTGCCAAGACATGCAAATAAAATTGTCCAGCTCAATAGTGTGATTCAGTTGTGACAAAAGCAAATCACTGCATTTTTATGTGCAAATAATTTATTTTTCTTGCTTTTTTCCCTAACTGCTATGTGTATTCAAAAGCTGGGAAAAAATTACACTAGTCAGCAATGAAGCTATAAATGTTTATCCCCATAGTGAATTTTTAATAAATGTTTGGAAAAATAAGTTATTTTCAATATTGATACCAAGGAGCAAAGATGGTACCTTCACATCGGATGATCAATAAGTGTCTGATTTTGAGTAGATCCAAATAGTGTATAACACTATTTCCAGTAAACTTAATTATGGTCTAAAGAAAAAATAGAATCTGAGAAGTTTATACAATGTAGCAAGAAAACTTTGAGTGCAAAATGAAATGTCTTACCATGAAATAAAGTTTGACAATGTTCTTTCCCTTCTTATTTGATTTTTTAATGTCTGTTTCTTTAACAGAAAATCACAAAAATTACCTTCTGGCAGAAGTTTCAGTCACCTAAAACTGCAAATTTTTCCCTAATAAAGATAAAACTTGCCCACCCACAGAGTAGAACTCCCACAAATGTTTTCTTGCTTCAGGTAGCATATTAGAGAAATAATTTTTTTTCTTAAACAAAACCTCAAGTGCCACAGTCTAAGAGTCAGGCTGCAAGTGTGTTCAAATTGTACCAACTATTTCTTTCATTGATCAACATTATATTGAAGCATATTCAATAACTATCTAAGATAATGATTATATTTACTATGACTTCTACACTTTTATGGCTGGCTTCAACCTGATACTGAATTGCTTCACGAACGTGTGCTGTATGTCTAAATTCATATTATTTCATGAATGACAACGGTAACCCTCAATTTCAGGTGATAGTTTAAGCTATTCCTTGCATTTTTTTTCTGCACAATTATGCTACATTTGCCATTGGGGTGTTTTTAATGTACAACAATATGGAAGAAAAGTGAAAACTATCTCATTATCCATTTACAAATCTGCCTAACAGTAAAATTTAACATTGCGTGATGCATTGGCAAAAAAAGTATTAAATATGAAGACATTATTTTGCTTTAAGTAATTATTTTAGCCAATCTTGCAATAAACTAGCTTGATTACATGTACAGATGCTTTAGGAAAGATAGGAAATGAATCAGATAGGAATTTGGCAGTTGTAATAAATGCAAACCTATTAATCCTACTCAACCATTAATGACACCAATATTACCATTATTACAATATACTTATATTTCTGGAAAAAGTCCCTTTTTATCTATGATAGTCACAATGCCATTGCATTCATGTATAAAATAGGTAGAAATGTGAAAAATCTGTACAAGGAATTCTGTGCATCTGTTAATATTACAAAATTAGCTGAATCGAGGCAAGAATGGTGATGAGTGAGTTCCACTTGAGGAAGATTGATTTGGATCTAAAAGAAAAAAGAAAGTCAGTTAATTCTTTTTAAAAAGGTGTGCGAAACAAATTTTAGACTCTGATGGAAGAGGAGAATTCTGAAGTTCTTCAGTCGTGTGTTTTCTCCCTCACTGCCCCATTCTTTGAGATGTCATGCAATGTGGCCACACCCCAAAAAACAGCTGTGAAGGAAATGTGCAGTGTGTATGGAGTCTTGGAAACAAAGTTTTCAGACTTTCTGTGACTCCTACACATGTCACTTATCACACACAAAACTAAAATTTTTAGATTTAGAATAATCAAATTAAACTCAAACTTGATTCAATTTTGCTGTCATCATTTCCTTTGAATTATGAATATTTCATTTACAAAATTGTAATCTGTAATCTCAGTCAAGAAACAAAAGAAAGTGATTTAATTGAACTAAGCATTTATGGTCTTGAACCTTGATTATCTGGACTTGTGGTGACTGGGGTGAATAGTTTGATAATTGAGAGTCCATATCATTAAAAAAAAAATAAATGTAACAAAAAACTGAATAGCTTAAAAGAGAATATGTATCAATATCATGCAAGCATTAAAGCAAATTCTCAAATCATTGTGCATAACTAGTAAACATTGTCAAAAGTGTTCACAAAAGACTGCTAAGGCTCACCAACAATGCTTTACATCTACCTAACATGCAGACATAAATCAATTTGTTTCAAACTGCCACCATGAACGCTGCTAGTTAATATTCATAAAAGAATGGGACCAAAGAAGAGAGTCCAATTAATTAAAAGATCCTAATGATAGCAAGGTCCTTAAAATCATGATTTGACTGTAACATCAGTAAAACAGGCAAGTGTTTCCTCTTGGGAATGAGAGGAAAAGGAAAAATTCATGCATATCCCACAAAGTGATGCAAAATACCTTGATAGATGGGCTGATTGGGTACCAAGGCACCATGGGAAAGCTGTAAAGCAGGCAAGTTCTGATTGGTTGTTGGGGTCATCCCTAAAAGAACTGGAAATTTAAACCAATAGGTAAATGATTTTAGATCTTCATCTAAATTATCTTTAGCAGTTAATTTCCCTTTTTCAACTTCATATTATTGATGTAACAGCACTGTTTCTGTGCAAACTTGTCACTTCCTTAATTAACCTTTACAAAATTCAATTACAATGATCCCACCACTTGATCACTCGGTAAGTATTAAATCTTTAATCATCCCTTTTACTGATGGGGTTAAAGAAAAAAAGTATACTGTTTCCAAATTATACTACTTCTTTATGTCTCAGAGATGATGGATGAAAAACCTCTTCTAAACACTTAAACTTCCAGAAGTTATATTAACATGTAACTTCTCCCAATAATATCTGAACAAAAACAATGAGAATACTCATTCTCTTATCAGGTAGAAGTTGTTATCTTGATCATACAACAAATTCCTTGCAACAAATTTAAAAGAAAATTTGCAGCAACAAGAAGGGAGAATTGACAGTCAGATCTTTAAAGTTAAAGAATTAAAATATCAGTCAAAGGCACCACTTCTACTATCTGCAATAAGACATTTAGGAAGTAACAGTACCTTGATTGAAGTGATTCTGTTGCAGAGACAGGCCAGATTGTTCCTGCGACTGCCGAGACAAGTGGTTTAGCATGGCTGACTGCAGATTGGGTGTCACAAATCCAATGTGGGTTAGAGGTGTGGTGCCCTTGCCTTGGAGATTGGCAGCTGCAGCATTGAACAAGGTGAGGTTGGGAGGCTGAGCTTGAAGGAGCACTTGTGAAGGAATGGTTGCGATGGGTTGAGTTGACAGACCTGGGTTAAAACCTGGATGGACTGCCTGGCAGCTCTTGAGATCTGGTCTGTAACATTATGGGAAAAATTGCAAATTAAAATAACCATTGAAATAAAGGTTTAGCATAACTGCTGGACAGAGCTCATCCTGATTTCCATTACACGAACTGTCCTGGAACACTGCTAACTGTTCTAAACATGATACTATTCCACCACAGGTAACCCTGTCACTCCCTTTCCTCCCATGCCCTCCCCTCCCTTCCAGCAACTTTTTAAGTTTCTCTGAAAATTTGCTGCTATAGATTTGAACTCCTGGGTGGAAAGGCAATATTGGAGTAAGTATTTTGCCAAATGACAAAACAAGGTAGCCTGTCTGCACAATAAAAGTGCCTGCACTGGAGCTAGTTGGCTCACCCAGTCATAGCTTATCATACATTCTGGAACACAAAGTCACCAAGAGTATTGCTACTACCTCTGGCTGGGATGCCAGTCTATTGCAAGGTTACCCCTACCCAAGCTTTCCATTAGCTTCGACATACAGTTCTCCAGTAACCCTTTGTACTCCTTGGTGGAGATAGCAATGTGAGAGTTAACCCTTTCAATCCCAGAAGTGATTAACATGTAACTTCTCCTTTTAACAACCTTTTCATTATTCAGCAGACAAGAAATGAGAATTCTCAAGCTAGTCAGGAAGAAGTTGTTATCCTGATCTAACACCAGATTCTTGTAATTAATTTACAAGGAAATATGTAACAGCTAGGGGGGAGAATTAGCAATTAGATCTTGGGAGTTAAAGGGTTAAGTGTATTGCCCAAGAACACAACCCAATGAAGTAGCTAGGTCAGTGGCACAGACCTCTCGTCTTACGGGTTAGCACAGTAACTGTTACCTACATTCACAGGCCACTGATTCACTCCAAATTCTCGCTTGTATCTAAAATGGCAATACTTGACAAAAATTGAAGGGGACGATTTCATAACACTGCATCGACAAATGCACAATCAGTAACAGCTACTTACCTTCTTGTAGAAACAGCATCCAAAATTGTTGGACTTGAAGTGGCCAAGGAGACTGGGGGTTGTTGCTGCCTCAGCGATGATGCTAGGTCAATAAAGTTATTTGGCACACCTTGAGCAGCAAGGCCACCAACTGTTGATGCTATTAATCCTGACTGACTTACACTGGAACTCTGAACAACAGCAGGTGAGGAGCGAATGATCTTTGGTGGGGATGACATTGCAATTTGAGTGCGTGCAGGTGAAATTGTGGAAGACTGAACTGGGACTGAAATTGTTGATGTGACTACAGAACTAGGCAAATGAGTTAAGGGTTGATCTCGAGGCTTCTCCTTAGGAGATGCAGGGGTTTTGCTTAGGAATGAACCTGACTGTTGCTTTGGAGGTATTGTCTGTGGAGGTTGGAGAGGTTTTGTTGTAACTGCTTGTCCCTCTGGATGAATCATATCTGCAAAGTCTAATAGAGTGAGAGCAGGCTTTGACTGAAGGCTGTCTGATGATGATGGCAATTTTATGGCAGACTCCTTCTGTGGAAGATTTAATCCTGCAACTGCTAGTGCAACTTGGGTTTTCTGTTCAAGTCCTGATCTGCTCACAGCAGTGCTTTCCATTTTTGTCACACTAGCAGTAGTAACAACAGGTTTTTGCACCGTTAACACAGAAGTAGGGGCTGCCATATCAGTGATTATCCGGTCTGACTGTGCAAGATTCTTCAAAACTGACAAAGCTGTTGCTGCTGTTGTTGCAGCCAAAGATGGTGCACGTGCTGGTGATGTGATTGCAGGAGGACTTCCAATACCCACTACTGAGGAAGCAACACTTGGCATGCCCTTAACATCAGTGCTGCCAGAATTCTACAAGACACAACAGTACATCTCAATACACTAGTCAGAAAAAAATCAATACACAATCAGCTTGTAAATTCATTTTATTCCATGTTCTAAGTACTTCTGCCTCTGATTCCAAGATTAGATGTAAGTCCACA